CAAGTACCCATCTAGTAGGGTTTTAGAGCCCAAAAACCATTCAGAGTATGGATTTTGGGATTTAGAAACCTACTATTTGGGTACTTGGACCCTCTGGGTTAGTTAGAGTCTGCGGCCTAGGCTTAGGGGTTTGGACTCCTTAGCTTCTGCCACGACCAGAGAAGTGGGCAACTTGTTTGGACACGCCACCCCCAATTCAATGCGTTGAATGGGCGACCCAGAAATTGGTTCCAGGGAGTCAGCTTGCCAGCAAGCCAGGTTATTCACTGATACAGGTACGACCACAAGCGGATATGATGGATATGACAATGAACAGGAACAACCAGAGGTCTCTGATGACCACGAAATCGGCAAGTCGTGAAAACGGCGTGGAGATAGTCAGGTTGATGATGGTGGTGATGATGATAAAGATGATGATGATGATGCAAGTGATGCTGCTGCTGGTGATGATGATGGCTGCGAGGATGATGATGATGGTGTTGATGATGATGATGTTGTTGGTGATGATGATGATGGCGACGAGGATGATGATGACACAATGATGACAATGATGAATCCTGAACCGTCAACCCTGAGGATTGACGACAACGATGAAATAGCTGGACTGAAACAAACAGGCGTGTTGATCCCACGCGGCCACAGTCATTGCAGCTAAACCCAGTGAAGATGATGACGGCCTTGTCATAGGGTGAGATATTGGGAGTTTTGGGCTATCCAGTTTATCAGCATCGAACTCGCCGTCGTCGTCATCATCATCGTCATCATCCTAATCATAAGCAACAACATGCTGCTGCTGCTGCTACTACGAGACCTCCTTCTCCTACTGTGGTATGTCTTGAAACCGAACAGACTGAGGGTCAAATATCAAAACCACGCAAAGACTTCCTTTTTCGGTGTAGATCCACACTACTCTACACCCCAAACATACATCCTCAATCCCCCACTCCAACCCTTCCTACCCCTACTTAGTCTCACTGCTACAACCTGGAAGGACTGACAGCCAGGATGCTCGGCTTCTTCGAAGCGCAAAGCGGGATCGCTTCTCCTGCTACTTTGCAATGCTGGAGCTCGAGTGGAGGTGGCATTTCGAGCGAGCCAACAGTAGAAGGCAAACGCCCAAGGATACTGTATGAGTAGTACAATGATTCTATCAGCGCATTATCAGGTTACAACAAAGGTACTAGTTTGGTGTTATGGGTCATGAGGGTAGAGCGATTCAAGGTCCGGTGCTGTTGGGTTTCTTGGTCTAGGGTTCCGGATGCTGAACAAGAACGCCGACAACCTCCAAAATATGACCTTTTGAGGCAACACCCCCAATAAGGAGCTCAGTTGTCGTGGCTTCTTTTGATGCGCATATTGGGGCCCCCCAAACAACATCTCCTGTTCCCAAATGGGCTTGGCCATCGGCCGCAAGCAGTCCCTCAGAAATAGTGCTCGCCAGAGTCCTTGGTCGATGCTGCTGATGGGTCGTCTAGGATTTATAGTCTTCATGGGTTTAGGGGTTTGGGCTTATGGTATGTTCTCTGCCGAAGTTGGTCCGCTAGCAGGCCAGGCTTAATGTTAATTGTCAAGGACGTTTGCTTTCGCCGCTCTTCGGGAGATAAAAGTAAGCTTTGGGATGTAGGGTGGGGCCAAGGGTGCTAGCGAAGCATTATGTGTGTGGGAGTGAGGGTCAAGGATTGAAGGTGAGGGGCTCGAGCTCACAGCACAGACGACTAGCAGGTGTTCATCGAAGCTTAGGTGGGGTGCCCGGGCTTGTAGACCCTAGCCCCTAAAGACCTTCTAAGCACCCCTGTGTCCAGCCGCGATTCTCCATACCACCTTGATTGAGGCGTGCTGGTTAAATCAAGGCGGAACATAGCCCACACCAACTTAAGGATAACTCCAACGAAGGAAGGGGCCCTAAGAATTAGAATAGGGATATCAACAGGTACACAGTGTATAGGGCTACTGTAAAGGTTCTGAAGGTGCAGAGTAGCCCTAACCCTAAACCCGCCTAAATCCCTCTACCATAAGCCCCTGCACCTCTGAACCCAACCCTAAACCCTAAATCCCTCTACTCTAAGCTCTAAGCCCCCGCACCTCTAAACCCGAAACTGTGACTGTAACAGTCTCAAGACGAGATGCTCGTTCAAGCACAGCAGATACCGTCGACCGTCGAGGCGCACAGCCTCTTGGGTTAAGGGCCTTGGGCCTGTGAGGGTTTAGTAGACCGCGGATTTTGAGATTTTGGGCTTAGGGTCTTAACCGGGGGCTTAGGATTTCGAGGTCTCTAGGGTTTCTGAGATTTTTGGGCTTCGGGTTTTTGCAAGGACCTAAATTGTGGGGGGTAATGAACACGCAAGCTACTTTATTTACACAGCTTTCGGGGTGGGGCAAGCCTCTCAGGGCTGCGGCTTCAGGGAATGACCTACCCTAGGGCCCCAAAGTAGTTCCTTTTTGGGGTTCATATATCGAATCTATAAGGTAATCTCAAAAAGGAACTACTTTGAGGCCTATGCCTAAAGAGCCTCATCAGCAGCACCCGCTGAACCCCTAGCAACAACGACGAGAAACACAATCAACAAAGAATCAACGCTTTTGACCTGCATGTCATGACAAACATAGATTTCGAAGTAAGGCAATCGAAAAAACACTTTCATTGCCTTGTAGAAGCTCAAAACACATGCGACACGTAACTGCAACAACATACCTAGACCCAAAACTCTAAACACCAAGCCGTACACCATACGCTATGCCCTACACCCTAAACCCTACACTCTTAACTAATTCTTAACTTAACTCGGCACGAGAAAAACCCTATACACAAAATGCCACCCTAAATGGATGCCTCGCGGTTCTCCAAGTACTCCACTCTCTTCGGGAGCTCGGGAGGTTCGGGACCGAGAGCCTCGCCACAACGAGGTCTTCGAGATGACATGTGGGTAGGGTTTAGGGTAGTCAGGGTTTAGGGTTTAGGGTTCGGGGTTTAGGGGTTTAGGGTTTAGGGGTTTAGGGGTTTAGGGTTTGGGGTTTAGGGCTTGGGGTTCAGGGTAGTCAGGGTTTAGGGTTTAGGGGCTCCTTAAAGGGGTCTACAAGAGGTTCTATATTATAGGGTCTCTAGCAAGGCACTATAAAGGGATTCTCTGATTTAGGGTCCTCCTTTAGAGTCCTTCTTGCTGCGCTATATTGGGGACCCCGAAAGGGACCGTAGTTTACAGAACTACCCTTGAAGGTTTAGGCCTCTTGAATAAGCTTAAGGCCTATGGGTTACCTACTCGGCTGCCAAGTTTCTTCTCGTTACGGTATAGTGTTTGCGACGATGATAATTGCAGAATGCAACAGTGCGTTGAGGGACTGTTACAGGCCGACACACCCCTGCCACCAGGTCCTCTTCATCGACAAATGGGGTTTCCGAAAATAGGGGACCCCAATATAGTACCTTCAATAGTAGGATCCCTAGAAAAAGGGGCACCAACATAAGGTATCCCCTGTTATCGAAAACTCTCAGATGCCTACCGCAGCAACGACTGACAACGACGATGCCGACACCGACGCCGATGTCGATGGCCACTACAGCTGCTTCCAAACCCACCATGCAGACCACATCTACCAAGACGACGACAAAGATAACCACAAAGCAAAGAAACATACCATCCGTGTGGATGTTGGAGCAAAAGGCTTTGGTGAGTCCTTTCATCCGTGAAGGCTTACGAGCTTCATAGTGAAACTCCACACTTGACTTCCCGAAAATGCATTTTGCAGCTGAAGCCCCGCGAACACGTCCACTCATCAGGACGGTAGACTATGATCTCATGCAGTTCTGTGCAAGTAAGACTTATGCATGCAAGGACGACTGCCACCAGTAGCAAAGCTAGCTCCGGTTGGGAAATGTGGCATCTAAATATACACGCAACTTTACATGCAACGCTAACCCTGAACTTTGGAAACCACAACCCTGCAGTCACGAGGTACAAACCTACGCCTAAAAGTGCGAACTCCAAGCCCGAAATCCAAACTTCAAAACACCCGCTTGCGGGACCTGTTAAACCCTTTTAGACAACCCCATAGACACTCTATTCTGCTTCTAAACTGTAAATTCTAAACCTTACACCTTAACATCACTTGGTTCAGGAATATTCTGATTCTAGGCTCTAAACCTCAAACCTTGAACATCATCATTAGTTCAGGGCCTCGGCCACGGCCGTGGCCTCAAGCCCAAGAGCGGATGATAGCCAGTGGCAGAGACCGTTCCAGTCTTTAGCCTCCGCGAAAACTCGATGTATGTAGGGCTTAGCCTTTCAGGATTCATTGGCATGAGGGTAAGTAAGTTTAGTAAGGGTGAGGGTCTCTGGCTTAGGGACTTCAGGTTTTAGGTGTTTAAATTTTAGCATGCGGCTGCTAGGATGGCCTGTGGCCCCAAACTCTCGCAACAGCAATGGCTTAATTCATTTCATGCCGCCGGAACTCTGGGTGGAGCCCTCAAACTAGTAGGTGATTGGAGCCTAAGGGTTTCTTGGGGGGTGCGGCTTGGGACATGGAAAGGGTTCAGGGATGAGGGTTTGCGTCGTTTAAGGTCTAGGACTCGTGGCTTAGGTTAGAGTTTATTGGTTGGCTCTCGGTCGCGCTTTACGTGTGCGGTCTAGATCTGAGGCATATGGGTAGTTGTCAAATTAGGGTCCCCTTTTGGGGTACCCTAAATCATAGGTGCCGTATTATAATAAGGACCTAAAAAGGGACCATAATTTTGACAACCAGCCATATGGCTTGAGGATGTTTGGGGTCTGGTCAGGGAAAACTTCAGTGTTTATCGTTTGGCGCCAAAAGGTGCAGCTGTGGCAATAAACCACGAGGGAATCATGGATCAGGTTGTTGGGTGGTTCTGCTGACGCAAGCAGGGATTGAAGTCAAGACTTGTTCGCAAAACCAAAATGAGCTTAACAACATGGGATTCCCAGGACTATGAGGCCACACAAGGTTAAGACGCTTTAGAGCCAGTAGTTTAAAACCCATATTTCGAACTAGACTGCACAGGAAATAGACCAAGGAGCCTCGTGCTGAGAAAAAGTATCGCACGCTCCAGCCCCGCTCATGCGCAAGAGCTCCACCAGCATGCGCTCACGACACGGCCGTCCCCGGCTGTTCACATCCACGTCTTCCGTCCGCATCCGATGCTCCCAAGCGTCGATGTCACTACTTCTCCCGGAGAGAGCAATGCAAATCTTCCGGCGCGGGAGTACCACACCTAGACAGCTCTTTCACTGCTTAGTGGGGTTTGCAATGAAACCGGCAATGACAAAATCTGAAACAGAGATCCATTGGTACTCAGACCACCTGAAACCCTTGAATGAACAAATCCAGCACTTTGCAAGCCCTAAGGCCCTCAACCCCTCAAACCAAACCGTAAACTGAAAACTGACCCTTTAACCCTACACTGTCAAAAAGCCTACACTGTCAAAAAGCCCCCAAAAACCCGAACGAACGCTCCCAGCCCCATGAACCCTTTATTATTATTGGTGTTGTTTTTTATTATTAGTAGTAGTATTAATATTAGTACTACTTATACATATATATATCATACATGTTAACTATGTATAAACCCTAAGACCCTAAGACCTAAAAGACGTCAATGCTCAGAACGCCAAGGCTCTGCATCCGGCGAGGCCGGCGCTCCAAGCGAGCTCTCGGATGCGGGCGGCGTAAGCTTGGGGCAGGCCATCCTCGGCTCGAGGTTCCGGGTTTAGGGTTTAGGGGTTTAGGGTTCAGGGTTTAGGGTTTAGGATTTAGGGGTTTTGGGGTTTAGGGTTTAGGGGTTTCGGGTTTAGGGTTCACTAAACTGAACTTAGAACCCTAGCAAAAATTATAATTTTTGCTGTTTCTTAGGGATTAAAACAGCCAAAAACTAAAAAAAACTCTAAGTACACAGAAGGAGTTTAGGGTTCAGGGTTTAGGGCCAGCCCTAAGGGTTCAAGTAGTCTCTACTATGGAACTTTCAATCCTTTTTGGGTAGTACATAATTAATACTTACTTCCCTAACAGGCGCCCAGCATCGTGGAGACATTTGACAGGCCAGTCCAGGTGGAACAAGGCACGGCTGCCAGAGGCGGACTGAGGGCTCCGTAGCTTTGATCTCAAGTCCATGAGCAACAGACCCAGTCGGTTTTCCCCCTTCTGCGATGGAATGTGATATCCCCAAATCAAGTCTGGGCTACCAGAATGGCCATCTATGAGTTCACGGTCTCCTGTCCGCAACAGCTTCTCGCGTAAGCTGGGGTCGGAAAACTTGGCCTGGGCTCTTGAGCGAATCCTGGGGTACTGGGGTACAGGGTAATTCAACTGGGTTTTGGGTGACTTATGGAATTATTATAAGTAGAATAATCATATTAGTATTCCCGCACCTATGGTACGTTGTAAGATACTCAGCACCCAAGAATGCAAAAAGAAACAGACGACAAAGTCTACTACTTAAAGGGTCATGGGACTTAGTAACTACGGTTATATTTAGGGTAACTGTACTTATAATTACTTATAACCCCATTTAGGCTACTTATAACCCTATACTTACTAAGTCCCATGATCCTCCAAGTACTGGAGAGCCTAGCGGCGGAGAGGCAAGATGCCATCACTTTTTCTCGGATCTCCTTCCAATCTTCCCGCAGAGGCACCTGGAAAAGTCCGATTTCGGTCTCCGAACTATTTCTTAAGGTGATTTAGAGTTTTCGATCCCTCTAAACCGAACTATTTCCTCAGGCGATTTAGGATTAAAAACTCCTAAACTAAACCCCAAACCCTTGGTTTGGGTAGTTTGGGGCCTGAAGGTATAGGGCACTCACGCCTGCTGGCCGAGTTGGGCAACACTTCGGTGTTTAGAGTTTGCGGCAAACCAGATGCGTGGATGGAACTTAGAGATTCGCTGCTATTGTAGCCCTTATACTACACGACCCCTACTGAGACTCACTTAGAGACAGGACCTCGGAAGATAGAAATCCTACGCTCCTGGAACCCTAAACCCTAAACCCAAAAGCCTAAACCCTAAACCCCTAAACCCCTAAACCCCTGACCTCTAAACCCCAAAAACCTAAACCCAAAGCCGTACGCCCCCGTAGGATCAGCCGCGCCTGGCGTCCTAGTCGCTTGGCTTCACCGAAACTGACGCCGCCAGTGAAGCCCCAGGCCAATCGCTCCTGTTGAAACAACCAGGGTTTAGGGTTTAAGGGTTGGGGTTTAGGGGTTTAGGGGTTTAGGGTTCAGGGTTTAGGGTTTAGGGTTCCCAGAGACTCCAACATCCCTTAATTAAGGAATATACCTTAAACTATAGTAGGATCCTTAATATGATTTAAGGCATATTCCTTAACTAGGGGATATTGGAGTCTCTGGGAAGGGTCGTTTTATCTAGTAGTACGAGGATCAATACTATTGTTCATGATATCATGAAGACTATGATGATACTTATATGTATTACTATTGTGCTGCTTCTTGGTAATATGTGTTTCTTAGAGTTTCGGGTGCTGAACCTCTCCATCCCTGAGGCAGGCTTCGGGCGTACGGAGTAGGGCTGAAAGTTCTGAAGCGTTTGCGATCTTCGGAGCTTTCGTGGGACTCAAGGGTCACTTCAGTATGGGTTAAAGGTTGCAAACCCTTTATCCCAAACCCCTAAACCCCGAAATCCTAAACCCCTAAACTCTTAACCCTAAACTACTCAAAAACTGTCGTTGAAAGGGTTCGTCCGGGTCGATCTCCTCAGCGAGTTCTTGTTAAGGAAACTAGTGTTAAGTCACCATAACAAGGAAACCCTATTGATATAGGTCCCTAGTATGGTAGTCTCCTCGTTTCTGCGCAGCTTCGCGGCTTGGAACGCATGTTCCACGGAGGGGTAGCAAAGGCCCTCATAGTCCAGCTGAGACCAGAAGAAGTTGGACAAGAACTTGTAAGGCCCTGGTAGGGGTTGAGGGAATAGCAAGGGTTCCTTTAAGGGCTCTGTAGGGTTTAGAGGGTTTAGGGGGGCTCCAATATCCCTTAATTAAGGAAGCATGCCAACAAAAATGTAGTAGGAACCCTGAGGGTGATGTAAGGAATACCTATAGTCTCCATTGTAGTTCCTTTTTGGGGTTACCTTTTATGATCCTTAATATAGCATTGGTTAAGCCAAGAAAGGAACTACAACAGAGACTAGAGGTATATTCCTTAACTGAGGGATCCTGGAGTCTCTGGGATCCTGGAGTCGAGGGCTTCGGGTTTCGGCATTACCTATAGTCTCCATTGTAGTTCCTTTTTTTGGTTTCACCAATTTTATGTTAAGGATCCTAAAAGGTAACCCCAAAAAGGAACTACAATGGAGACTGTAGGTAGGGCTTTTCTGGGGATTGGGCATTAGAGTCTAGGGTCTAAGCTCTTGGGCTTTAGCATTAGGGTTTAGGGTTTCGGGTCTTGGCACTAGGGTTTGCGCACATGGGACCATCAGACCCTAGCATGGAAGCTTCGAAGCAGAATCCTTCCTTACAAGCACCATCAAGTACCCTTGAAGGGAGATCCCGGAGTAGAACCTTCACTCAAAAGAGGCCCGTCTTTAAGGAACACCCCGGATCTGGGCAATAGCTCCCCGTAAACGACGGCTATAGCAGGGATCCGAACCCCATAAGGTTGGAAACCGGAGACAGGGCTTCTACTGTATTCATCCACAAGGTGAAACTCTTCTGATCAGGGTTTGTTGACTGCGGCCTCACAACAACATATTGGGACCAGGTGTAACACTAGACCAGTTGATTTTAGGGGATGTCTGCTTGTCTTCGCAAGCCGCATTGCTGCTCACTTCTTGCACGTAGTGAGTTAAAACGAGACGCCCTAAACCCAAAACCCTAAACCGAATCCTCCAGCAACCACCCTGGCTGAGTCCTTGCAGAGCCCACAATGCCAGCCTCCTATAAGCATGCACAGGTGGCCCGTCAACGCAAGTAATATAGGGGCCTCAGTAATTAGTATAGGGTGTCGGTGCCCATTATACTATAATTATAATAAGGAGCCCCCAAACTAGTATAGGCAACTATTTAGGCCCCTATAGTAGTGGGTTTCAGCGTGGATGAACCTGTCCTAACCCTACGACAGCTTACGCAACTGCCGGAAATGCCTTGGAACCGCTCCACCGCACCATCCCGGGATCTTTCACCGTGCTCCTCAAGCCGATCCTGTCTGGGGTGCAGGGCTTACCTACAGTCTCCGTTGTAGTTCCTTTCTTGGTTTAACCATGTACGCTTCTATGATCCCACAACGTAATTCCACAAGGAAACTACGACACTACGATGCAGGCTACAGGACCTGTGGTTCTTTGACAACTACCTATAGTCTCCATGGTAGTTCCTTTTTGGGGTTAGTCTCCATTGTAGTTCCTTTTTGGGGTTACCTTTTGGGATCCTTAATATAAATTGGTTAAACCAAAAAAGGAACTACAAAGGAGACTAGAGGTAGGTGGCTAGACTTCGTGCCTGGGCAGTGCTGCTGATGATGGATCAACGATAAAAGCCCAGGTTACCTTGCGTAGCATTGGGGCCTTGATTGGCCTTGATAATTAGAATAGGGTTTTGGGGTAGACTATACTATACTTATAATAATAAGGAATGCCCAAGATAGAGTTCGTAGATAGTTGCGCGAGCGCCGGTATGGTGTAGGGGGGGAGTATGCGCTTAGCATGCGAAGTCCCTGGGCTCGAACCCTCTACACGGACAGGGTAAGACTCTCAGCTGGCTGCATGGGCGCTCGAAGGTCCCTCGGGAGGCCGAGCCTATCCCACTGACGATCCGGGTGGTCGGGTGGACTGACATGGGCACCAGCTGAACAACAACACTACGTAGATAGTTGCGCCCGTATCTTGCGATGAACCACGACAGTTCTGGTACACTTCTTGATAAGACTTTAAGAAGTTCTGATCATGCAGTCTTTTGGCTGCTACGCCTGATCTCCTCTCGCAGCATAGGCACTGCAGATTCATGGTACCCTCCGATCCGCGAACAGTAAACAACGAATGCAGGGGCCCTGAGATTTAGAACAAGGTTTCGGAGCATAGTACGCCATGACATATTCATAACTGATAGTCTATAATACGGAACCCCCAAATCGCCTTGGTGGTGGTTGAGGCGCCTACATTCTAACCCAAACTAAAGCCTCCATCGCGGCAGAAATCAAGACACCTCCCCGGCTCCGGTTTCAACCCACGCCTTACCCTAAGGGTCTAAAGGACCCAATAATAAGGTACTTGGGTTTAGGATAGTAGTTATGTAGCTTTACATTTGGGAGAGTGTATGATTATCAGGTACTTGGACCCTTAGGGTTAGGGAAGCCAACATTGTATGTGGGATGTGGGTGAGTGTATATGCGGCCAATATCGGGCTGTTTAGGAGTATGGGTGCATGTTTATTCGGGCGACCGACTTCATGTAGAGGCAGAGCCGCACACCTATAAAATCCTCTTCGCAAGGCTTTAAGATCCTGGATGTTAGGGCTTCAGGGCTGAGGGCTTTTGGGTACTAAGCAAGTCCTTGCATGGTGACTCGCTACTTCTGGGTTCCCTACATGAAAAACCTAATCAAATCCTCACGTAGGGTCCTGAATAAAAACTATTGAGTATCGGGCACACTATGTTTATAATCATAGGTACTGGTAGCCATGTTACCCTAAACCCGAAACCCTAATCGCTGAAAGTTCAAGCCAGGAGAGGTCCTCGACCGTGGGCTGGTAACCATCCTTGCGAACCCGCCAGCTGCGTCGCGCTGACATCTGCTGACATCTGCTGCGCCGGTTCGCTCGGCGGTGGGTATTGCGGCTAGAGTTTGAGGATTTTAGGCTTGGGTGACTTCCATCTTATCCCAGAAAGCCCGCGAAATAAGAGGCAATGACACAGTTAGGAGCTTAAAGGGGCGCCGCGGGCGCTGGAATACAATGCATCTACTGGGTTTTGCTTTAACAAGGGTCTTTGCCCAGGTCTCAGGCTAAGGGGTTTAGGGTTGTAGGGTTGAGGGTTAGAGGCTCCGTAGATTGCAGATCTTGGGGAACTGGTGCAGCTATGACCTGCAAAGCGAGCCAAGGCTCTGCCGTGGTATGCGAGAAGTTTCCATCTCTGGCGCACCAAGAACGTACGAACTTCAAACGAGGATAGCACCCTGCCCACAATAGGATTTTGATTTCGATTGTTGCCAGAGCGCGTCCCCAATTGAACCAGCAAGCGAGTTTGGCTTTCGCAAACCACTAAACACAATCCTGTTCGCAGATCCCCGCCAAAGACTTGAGTTTGGAGCTCGGGTGTTCAACGCAGGTTTCTGGGCCTTGGGTGTTGTGTTTTTGGTGCTTCGAACATTATACTAGAGGGCTGACATGTTTCTACAGTTCCATAAAGCTTCTCCAGGGTTTTAACCGAGCGGAACTGGGAAGTATCGATTCGGATACTATAGCCAGATTGCAGCAACGATTGCTGCATGCTGCCGATTGTCTCAAAGAGAAGCTTTTTGTTCCCTCTACCCCCGCTGCTGGAATATGATTGATTGTAAGGGGCTTCATGTTGGTACCAAGTGCATTCATTACTTGCAGAGCTTTGGAGTCTGCGGGTTCCTTACCCGGAAGAAAGCCCCGATGGCTTA